GAAGCCGCTGTCAGTGTCCTTCCTCCGGGTATGGGCAGAGCCTGGGGAGCGGGCTCAGCCCTTTGGGCCTCAGTCTCCCTGTCTGCATCTCGGTGATGGTCCTGGGGCTTGACAAGGCATGTGAGCCCCAGTGTGCCGGCTGAGGATGGCCTCCACCAGCCAGTCCTGGTGTCCTTGTGCCTCCTGCTTGCTGTGTGGTCTTGGACAGGTGCCTGACCCTCCCTGTGCCATAACATGGACATCTGTCAAATGGGGATAGTGAGGGCACAGTGCCTTCTGATGCTCCAGACCAAGTGGAGAGCTGGGATCCAGGTCTGCGCGTGGCCCTCAGCCCGACATAGAGCGTTCACTGGGTGGGTGCGGCCTGTTCTGAAGGGCATGCTCCTGTTCAGCCTGGTGGTGGACTGGGCTGCTTGGTGCTGAGAGCTTGCCGCTGGCTAGAAAGGTGGGGCTGAGTGCCCCGTCCCTCCTGGATGGCAGGACCTCCCCTGCTGGCCTTGAGAAGTGGCTGCAGTCAGCCGCTCGGGTTGGGAGCGTTGCCCACAGGTCTTCATGTCTGTTGGCAGTGGCCAAGCACTGAGTCCTGGGCTGCTGGGCCATGGGCCAGAGGCCAGAGTAGAGACCGCCATGGGGCGCCCCTGTGACCCGAGGAGCAGGTGTGTGTGGTGGCCTCGCCCACTTGCCTGCCCTCTCTGGAGGCCCCTTGTCTTCTGGGACAGCAGGATGCCAGCCCTGCTCCTGACTCCCCTCTATCCTGTTTCCCAGAAGGTGGGGTGGAAGTTTGCCAGGGTAGGTGAGGCGCAGCAGTGTGGATGCCTCCCCTCCGACTCTGGGGGTGGTGGGAGCTTCTGGACAGGTTGCAGGGTTGCTTCCTGAGGGGCTCCGGACGCCCTATCTTCCTGTGTGCTTGTTGGAGCCAAGGACACACGCACAGGGCCGGGGACGCTGGCTCTGGATGGCGATCCCTGGGTTCGGGTGGGCACTGTGCGGCCCTGGACCCTGTCTGTCTGCTCTGCGTGCCCCCTGGCAGCAGGGCCTGTGCTCTACACACCTGCCACCCTGGGTGCACACAGATCCACTGTGGCTGCGCTGGGCACACAAAGGCCTGAGCACGGGGTCCTCCTCAGACTGCTGGTACGCACGGGGAGACCAGAGGGAGCCACAGCTGTGCTAGAGGTGGAGCCCGGGGCTCACACGTGCCGGGCAGGCGCCGGACCCCGGCCCACTCGGACCTGCCCAGGCTTCCGTCCTGTCTGTTTCTGACCCCTGCTCCTCGGCTCTTCAGTATCTGGCTTCCTGGGGCACACGCCGTCCTCCAGAAGCGCTGCTCTCGCTTGTGCCCCCCCACCTGTGGGAAGGAGCTGCCCCTCAGGAGGGACGGCCCGGGAAGTGGGGTGCAGGCAGTGGGGGACGGGGCCACCGCACAGTCCCAGGGGAAGGCTCGCTGACGTGAGTGTGGGGGCTGCTGGCGGCCTGTGCGTCTGAGGCCAGCACCACGTGCCAGAACACAGTGACTTTATCCTGTGGGCCAGAGCTGCGAAATACTGTGGTAACCACAGCAACAGTAACTGGGGGCAGCTGCCTCAGCGGCCGTGTTGGACCCTGGTTCTCTGCACCCCTTAACCCTGAGGGCTCTGTCCCAGTGGCACTGGCAAGAAAGAAGCTGCCTGTAGTTGTGAGGGATTGCATGGGGTCTCAGTTTCCCCAAGGTCTGACACTGCCCCCTGCGGGGCCACATGTGGTGAAGGGTCCAAGATGGGTGGTGGGGGATATGGAGGAATTTCCCATGTGGTCAGAGTGAGTGTGCATGTGTGTGCGTGTGCACACCTGTGCGTGCATGTTAAGTGAGCCCCAGAGGTGGGCGGTGGGCTCAGAGCTCCACGCACAGCCCTGGGCCCCTTCTCAGTCTCTGCCCCCCAGGCCTGGTCCCCCTATCTGAGTCTCTGCCCCATCTCCCCTGGGTCTCAGACGGGCCTCTGCAGACAGCCTTGGAGGGGCTCCTGGTGCCAACCCGGGCAGAGCTGGAGTGGGCGCTGCTGTCCTGCTGTTCCTCCTCGCACAGGGACCTGGGGGTGGCCTTGCAGCAGCCGGGCTGGGCCAAGGTACGAGCCAGCCAGCTGTGCTACGCCGCCTGCCGCGCCCAGCCACATGGACAATAAACCTGAATTGGCTTGGAAAGTGGAAGTGCTCTCTGCTCCGGGGAAGTGAGCCTGTGCTCAGAACAGTGTGTGCGGGGACGTTCACAGACGCGCTGGCTGCCCGCTCCGCGTGGGGGTGGGAAAGGGTTTTACGAAGCCCAAAGAAATGTTTCCATGAAATTCCTCTTGTTCTAGGCCTTTTTTTTCTTTTTTGGACATTCCAATGAGAAGAATGGATCTGGGGCTTTGGATCTCTCCTGCTGGCTGGGAAGTGACCGCAGGGACGAGGCCAGCAGCTGGGCCTGGGCTGGAGGAGGGGCGCCCACCCTGACAGGTGCTCGGCCCTGCTCCCCCGCCCGCCCCAGAAGCAGCCCCATGCCCCGGCTCCTGGTCTCCCACCTGGCGCTGGCCATAGCTGGCGTGGCTCTCAGCATCCTGTGACCTCTCCCACTAGGCTGCTCTGTGTCCATTTTGCTGAGGCGAGGCCACCCTAAGAGATCCCCAAGTCCCGAGGACACTCACCCTACCCGTTGCCCCCAGGGGTGCCCGACAACCATGCTGGGGGACACAGGGCCACGGCCTGCTGAGGATGGTGGGGGCGTGTGGACACTCAGAGGCCACGTCCAGGGCAAGCGGCCTCCAGGGACACCCTGACCGGCTGCTGACGCACTGGCTCCGATGACTCACGTGCGGGTGACCGTGACTTGAGTGGCCGTCTGGAGACTCGGACTGGCTGAGGGCTGCTGCCTTCCTGGGGGCCAGCCGCCCCCTGTCTGGGTGCAGCCTGAATGACAGGTCCTTCCCCTCCTTAGTCATCGGCTGGGTCACCCTCTACTCCTGCCCACCTCAGCCTGGGCTGCGCCTCGCTGTCTGCTGCTGTGGGGTGCCTGCCATTGTAGCCTCTTCTCCGAGCACCAAGGATGGTAGGGGCCCTGGGGACAGTGGTGTCCTCTGTAGGACAGGGAATGACGCAGCCGTGGGGGTTTTCCATTGCCTGGGACATGAAGGGTGGGGACGGACTGTGCCATCCCCTCTGGGGCCCGTCTCCCGGGCAGGGCTGGGTTCTTAGAGTGCAGTTGTCCCATGTTAACAAACACAGTCACAGCCCCAAGGGCAGGACCGTCTGTCCCCACCTTGTAGCCATGGCCCAAGTGGTCGTGTCCCCCTTCGCAGATCACTAGCTCTAGTGTGACCCAGACTCTGGCTGCAGAGACCCCGGCCTGGCCCCTGTGCTTCCTCTCAGAGGCCCTGAGGGTCGCTCGTGCCGTCCCTGCCATCTGGATCCCTGGAGAACCCAGACACTCATGGTGGGAAGACTCCTGCCCACCTTTCTGGTCCCCCACTTTGCAATGAAGACAGCAGTGCAAGACAGGAAAACATAGGCACCTTTGTCCCTGTCCTCCCCAGAGGAAGCGCCGAATCCAGCTGCTCTGCCCTCTGGATGTGTTCTCAGCACACAGGGGCCTGAGTCCCTCCCCAGCCGGGAAGGGGAGTCAGCATGGGCCCTACCCCACTCCACTCCACTGATCCTGTGGCTGATTTCCTTTCTTCCAGGTGGGGGTGGTACAGTTGGCCCTGGTCTTCCGCACCGGCAGGACCCGAGGGCTCCAAAAGGAAGTCGCACCCAGACCAAAGAAGGACAGACTTTTTTTGAGACAGGGTCTCACTATGTAGTTGACACTGACCTGGAACTCACTGTGTAGCCCAGGCTGGTCTTGAGCTCACAGCGATCCTCCTGCCTCAGCCTCCCGAGGGCTGGGATGACAGGTATGCGCCACCACGCCCAGCAGCAGACTTTTTTCTGTTGCCATTCCCCATGCCATGCATCGCCACAGCCCCGTCCTTCTTACCTTATGTGTGAGGCGTCCTTGTCACCTACAGGCAGTTGGTCTGTGGGAGGATGTGTGTGGGCTCCATGCCGACACCACAGCGCTTCTCAGAAGGCACCTGAGCTCTCGGGCCTTGGTGCCCCCCGGGAGTCGGGACGCCCACTCCGTGTGGACCTGAGGGACTCCGTGTCAGCAGTCTCAGGAGGGGAGGATGTGTGTGGGCTCCATGCCGACACCACATCGCTTCTCAGAAGGCACCTGAGCTCTCGGGCCTTGGTGCCCCCCCGGGAGTCGGGACGCCCACTCCGTGTGGACCTGAGGGACTCCGTGTCAGCAGTCTCAGGGTCTCGGGGTCAGGGATCTGGGGCTCGTCCCGCTCCCATCCCCCGGGACAGCCGTGGGCACCTGCTGCTGGGCGGCTGATGGCTTCCCTTGCCAGCCCCTCTGCCTCTCCTGCGAGCTGACCTGGGCCGTGCCCCTTCTGTCGAGGTTGCTGCCTGCCGCGATTTCCTGGTGCTCTCCACGGAGCACCCTGCTGCAGGGGTGCAGATGCCTACGTCTCCCTGCCCTGTGCCGCTGCCTTTGCTGGAAGGTGGGGGGCCAGAGGTGGGCACCTGGAAGGCAGAGGTGGCACAAGTGAGCAGCGGGGCCTCCGAGAGGTGGTACGGGGCCAGGCTGGGGTCCCTGCGTGGCCTTGTGACGCAGCTGCCCGGCGCGAACTTCTCTTCCGGGGGCAGCGGCGTGCACACCTGCCCCTCGGGCTCGGAGGAGGCACTGCCTTCCTGCTGCTGGTGCCCCTCGGGAGGGATGGGTGCCAGCTGGAGGCGCAGTGCAGACACCGGCAGGGCTGTGGGGGTTGTGAGGCAAGGCTTCCACACCGGGCCTGGGTTCGCTCGGTGCCCTCGCCTGCTGTTGTTCCGGGGGAAGCGCTGGCTTCAAGCTCCCTCTGCCTGGCCTTCAGGATGGGTGGCGGGAGTGTTTGGGCAGCCGGGAGTGGTGGTGCTGGGGTGCAGACCCCAAGGTCCCTTTGTAGTCTCTTGTGCAGCCACTGCACCTTCACGGGCCGCCAGCTACTGTGGGCGGGGCTGCAGGGACACCAGTGCCATGGCTGTCAGCCCGAGCTCACCCCGGAGCTTCCAGGTCCCGCAGAGTGCTCCAGAGTCCTGCTGCCCCCGTGCCGTCCTTGCCTCCCATCTCTGATTGCAGCTCTGGCCTCTCGTAAGTGTCCTTCCCCTCCGAGCTGGTGCTCGGAGCACGCAGTGGTCACTTTCCGTCCGTCTGTCCCCCACCCCTACAGAAGCTACAAGTGCTACAGGGCAGGCTCAGGCCCACCAGCGAAGCGCTGGCCCAGTGCGTGTGTGCGTTCGTGTATGAATGGATGGGTGACTGGCTGAGGCGAGGGCCCTGGGGTCAGTGAGCCTGGGGCTCCCTCAGCTGTTGCTCCTGACTGGCCTAGACATCCCTGACTGCTGGTGGCCCCTGGATGTCCCTGGTTCTGGGCCTGGTGCCCTGCTGTGTACCCTGATGGCAGGACTGCTGTCTCTCAAGGTGTCCAGATGCCCAGGGGCTGGACAGAGGGGCCATGGGAGCAGCCAGGCACCTCAGCCACAGGGCAGCCCTGGCCAAGGTGGACCTGCGACGTGTTCCTCATGACCCTTAGGACCTAGGTCTCTCATGGGGCATGGAGGCTGTGCACCACGCAGGTGCGTGGTTCGGAGGTGGGCACCCCTTCTACCTGGTGGGGTGTGGGCTATGGAGACAAGGGAGTCTCCGGCTCCACCTCGGCCCGAGCCTGCCCTTCCTCCTCAGCCTGCGGGAGGTCTCTGTGCCCAGCCACCAGTACCCTATTACCCGGAACTGTTCTCCTTCCCCAGGACCCCCATGTTGTTTGGTGGCCCCCTGGCACCCCAGCAATGGTTTCTGGTCCAAATGGCCATGTGCTGGGCTCTGACTGCCTGTGTCCTGCCTGCAAGGGACTCACAGCTTCCCACCCACGGCCGCTGTGTCCCCTGCTGGTTTCCCCACTTCTTACAGGCAGGGCTGGAATGCAGGCGCCTGATTGCCCAGCTGTGGATAGTGCCGCCTACAGGCCTACAGCCCCTGTCCGCTCTTTCCTGCGGGTGTCTAGAGGGCTGGGAGTGGGCAGGGCCTCAGCACAGCAGCAGCTGCCTCCAGTGCACGCCTGTGCGTGCCTTGTGTGGCTGCCAGCTCCAAAAGCTTGGTATTGTGTTGGGGTGGCGGGCCAAGGGGCCAGGAGCCCCCACCCCTCCCGCACATTCTTGGAACGACCAGTGCCCAAATTCCTGGCCCTCACTGTGGGTAGGCACCCTCCCAGGGGGCCACAGGGCTCAGGGAGAGTGGCGCTGCAGAGGGTGGCCGTGGCCTGGGCAGGAGGGGCCCCGGTGGGATCCTGGCCATGGGTCTGGCCCTATAGGGCCTTGGGGACCCTGAGGGGCTGGGAGTGGGCAGTGTTTACACAGGACCTGGGCGGGTTCTCATGTCCCTGTTTTCATTTTTGGTTTTGGTGCTGGGGATGAAACCCAGCACCTTCACACTGAGCTGTGCCCCAGCTCTTTTCACTCTTTAGTTTGAAACAGGGTCTCACTAAGTTGCTAAGTTTCCCAGGCTGAGTGTGAACTTAAAATCCTCCTGCCTCAGCCTCCCAGAGTGCTGGGATGACAGGCCTGTGCCACCATGCCCGGCTCAAAGCTACGTTAGACTGGACTGACAATGCAGCAGTATTTGATGCATTCGCGGTGTCGTGCAGCTCCCGCTGTCTGTTCCAGAGCATGTCATCACCCCGAGAGGAGACCTGTGTACCCTGAGATCCCTCTCGTCTCCACCCACAGCCCCGGGTACCCACCAACCTGCTTTCTGTTCCTATGGGCTCACACCCTCTGTGGCCTTTAGTGTGTCCAGCTTCCACCACCCAGCAATCCCCACCCTGAGCCTGTCCCGTGCTGACCCATGAGACAGAACCACAGGCCTTTTTTTTTTTTTTTTTTTTTTTTTT